CTTAGAGGTGTTGGCCCAACTCCCATTTTTGGGAGTTGGACAAAGTCTGGGGAGGGGCCAGTGGGGGGTGGTCAAAGTGACAAGTGGAGACTAGGCCTTGGAAAAGGCCTCTCCTCAGACAGAGGCAGGGACAGTCAAGAGGCAGGGTCTGAGAGGTAGCTCTTATTCATGGCAGTACTGGTGACAGTCTTGCACCTCAGGTGTCTTGACTAGTCTCCTTCAGTTTCCGAAGACAAGAATGCAAGTGGCCTTAAAGACAGTTTCTGGTGAAGGTGTCTGGTGACCAAATAAGTGACTTCCTCTTTGTCCCTTCTGAGGATCCATCTCTGGTCTGCCATCTCTGCCAGTGGGTGGAGCCCTGAAGCCTCAGTAGAGGAAAAGCAGCGTTTCAGAAATGGCACCAAGGCCGGGACACTGGGTGGAGCTTAAGGCAGATGGCACTCTGAGAGAAAAGATACTGACAGCTTTTGGGTCACTGTGCCCTGGCTGCCTGGACTTGACAGGAGACCTAGTATCACATTTCACCTAATATGTGGGGTGGTCTTGGTGTCTACTGACAGGGTGGGCCAGGGCAACTGGAATGAACCAGAGCCTTGTCCAGCCAGGGGCTGGAGGTGAGGAGTGGTCTGGTCCTGCTGCAGTTGCCTCCAGGTCTTTGCCAGGCAGAGAAAGCCCAGGGTTTCGGCAATGCTTGCACCAGACAGAAGGATGGTAGAAGATGTCAAAATGCCTGTCCAAACACGATGTTATTAAGTATCACCCCAACACTCCATAGAACCAGCAGCTACAAGGTGGGTGCTCACAGCCATTTGTTTTCAGAAGAACCAACAAGTACTTCATTCCCTCCCCCAAGGGACCCAGCATGAGTCTAGAAGGAATGGTTCTAGACCATGGAACCCCTGGTCAAGGCTTTTCATGGCAGAGTGCTGGAGAACAGAGATGAGGTCTACTTCTGGTATAAAAGCAGATTACCTGTCAGCCTTTTAAGCCAGGACAGTGACACATGATGGTCCTCAGTAGACAGGACTGCGAACTTGTTATAGGTACCTGCCTTCCATCCCTCAGGTACTGATACATCCATGCATTTATGGAAGTTACACTAATGACTTTGCTCCTCATAAGATAGGAAATATAAGCAGGCTCAGCTTCATAGAAGGTGAAAGAGAATCCTGCTAGTAATGTTTCTTAAAATACTATATAGCAAATCCGAAAGATATGGGAAAGAAGAAGGAAGACCCCATAGATTTTCATCCTCAAAACAATTACTCTTAACATTTTCATGTTTCTTTTTAGATATTACCATGCACATTTTTGCATTGTTTGAACACGCACTTAAAAAGAAAACCACTATTACACACATTTAATGCAAGTATAAACTGTCAAAAATAACTTTGTGGTTAGTCATGAAGTGGTAGAGTATTAATTCTGCTTTCTGTTGGCATTTGGGTGGTTTCTAATTTTTACAAAACATTCTCAATATAAACTCTTCCCAGTGTCCTTTTCTGTTCACAGGTCTTTCTCTCATTTTCCATTACTAGCCCTACAACACTATGGAAGAAACAGAAGAACCATTCTATTCTCCTCTCTTCACTTTCCCTATAGCTACTTAACTGCTACATGAATGAGTTGGAAAAAAAGACTTTAAGATCTTTTAGATCACTAGCTGCATTTAAGTTATATTAGTAATACACATTTATATTCTAAGTCAAAATTAAAACAGTCCCTTTAATCTTAAATCTCCCACTTAGAAAACACCCAAAATATCCTGTTCCATATAAGAATTTCTATTTCCTTCCATTCTTGCTATTTATGTTGATATAGATTCTTGACTTCCTACTTGATTCAATTCAGTATCTTACAATCATATTTATTTTTATTCCACAATTTTCTCATGTTTAGGCAAGTTACCTTAATCTGATTTTTTCTGTGTTCTTTTCATATCTACCATGCCACACTTTTTGACAAAAAAAACACATTTCAAGCTCGTGATGTATACACAACAGGGAAGAGAGTGTCTTTCCAACCGATGCTGTTGGGAAAACTGGATATTCAGATGCAAAGGAATGGACTTGGACCTTCTACCTTCACCATAAACAAAAATCGACCAAACTAGATTAAAAACTTCTATGAGAAAAGACCGGGGAAAAGCTTCATAACATTGGTCTTGGTGATGAATTCATGAATATATTAACAAAAGCGCATGTAACAAAGGGAAAAAGTAAGCAAATGGGACTGCTACCGATTATCTGGCTGCAGTCCTTTCGCTCTATCCAGAAAGGAATTATGGAGGGATGAGGAGAAGCAGTTCTAGTGCTGTAAATCCCAGGTCCTTGAGGGCCCAAGGCCTGGGGGCTGAACTGGCAGCCCCGGAGACTGAAGCTCCAAGCCCTGAGAAGTACAGGACCTACTTCTCCAGGCCTTAGAAGCCAGAGAACAAACTATGGCTTCAAGCACTCAGGTTGGAGGCTTCTCACTCTGGGTTTAGCCAACTAGCAGTCCCAGTACTCAGCTTCCAGCAGCACTAGGTGGTGGCAGCACAGAGCCTTCTAGTGATACAGCTCTTGTTCAGGCCTCAGGTCTGGGACCTTTAGACTTACAGTGACAAGTGTAACAGCTCTCAGGCCTAGGGTACTGGAGTCCTCAGTCTTTCACAGCACTGGTGTTTCAGGTCTCAGGCCCAGAATGTCTTAAGTCTCTTGGCCCTTGAGGCTTAGCAGCTCTCTGGAACTCGGGCAGTTTCTGTTCTCTGGCTTTTCCCAGCAGCCCTCTTCAATCTCAGCCCTCTGCCCTCTCTCATTTTCCCTCTTCTTCTGTTGCTTCCACTCCCTGAAACTCTTCAGCTGCCTTTGGTTGCTACTGCCACTGCTCCCACCTCTTCTCCTTTCTTCCTATATGCACCTCACCCCCACTTTACTAAGGATGATCCAAAGTAGGAAAGAAAAGACCATCACAAGAAGCCTTTTATTGGACCTAACGTTGCAACACCAAGGGGCAGCACAGGAGGTTATCTCCCAGCTGGCTCACAAAGTGAAGCAAACATCCCTACTTATATATATAAAACACTGGGGTGTTGCCAGTGTATCTGCACCAATCATAGCATGGTCCTTTATTCAAATGAGCTTTTGCAACAGCAGATCCAAAAAAGACTTCTCTCCAGTGATCTTTCTGGCCTGCTTTTGATTCTCATCATTAGTAGGGTTAAGTTTTTGCCTGGTCTCTGGGTGTGAGAGAGCTTGAAGGCACTGGGCATGGCATAACTTTGTTCCCATACTCCCATATCCTATGGTCTGGACCTGCCTTAAATCGATTATATATGTTAGCATGAAGTGAAGTTCTTCTTCCACTGGGAGGTAGCACCTGTCTCTGATGAAAAGTGGAAGGAGTGGGAAGGTCAAGGGAAAGTAATTTTTGGTTGATCAAGAAGTTGTCATCAGTCTCTGTGCTGGACACAATGGAGGCCCAGCACCCTGCCTATGGGACACTGGCAAGATGTGTCAGGATAGTCAAATCAGGTTTTCTGTGGCCAAGAATTTTTAGAGACTATAACCACATAGACACGACAAGAAAGCCTAAGTCTACCTTCATAAAAACATGAGGGATTGTCTCCAGATTTCTCCCTTTCTACAAAATAAATCTAGTGGGAGAATGGTGTTATAAATTAGAGATCCATTCTCCAGCCAGTGGTCTCAGTCCATCGACTTATACTTGAGGCCCAGTCTATTTTATACAAGTTGCTGAATTTTCTGAAATTTCTTTAAACCCTCCTGTGTAAACTGCTTCCAAATATCAATTTTACATTTGAAAGCAAGAGCCTTCTGGAGCACTTTCCACATTCATCTCCTACAAAAGGGAAATTGTCTCATGAAACTGGGAAAAAAAGGGCAAGTAGAATTTTTAGTACTTCCTTGGGTTACTTCTTTACCATACACAAATATATGCTCCTCAGTCCTTACAAATGCTCACTTATCTGAATACACACTAAATCAAAGTCCATAGAAACCACAACCCAAAACCTGTAAATATTTCAGAAACTGGGATAGAGACCAGTACTGTGTTATATCCAATAGCATGAACTTAACTTTATGAAACCAGAACAAGGCAGTAAAAGACCATGGAGCTGTGCAACCCAATGCACTCTCTCAATCCTGGACCTACAAACCCAAAAATTCATCAAATCTCAGAAATTTATCACAAAGACCACTACAGTGGTATGACTAGCAATACAAAGTGAAGTTCCCAAGACCTGAGTAAAATCCAGAGCCACATCAGAAACCAAAATGAAAACCACTACTGTGTCCTAACCAACAATCTGAAACACTTTCCAAGGCCACTAACCTGCACCAATCCAAGTGTCTGGACCAAATCTATGAAGAATATGGAATAGTCCAACATGGTAATCAAGCCAGGACTACTACAAGATACAAGTCAGTGACTGCAACCAAATGAGCAGTACTCCAAAATAAAGGACAAGGGAGGGAAAGGAACTGATTCTTGAGTGGGGAGGTGGGTATACAAGGAGGTGACTGGGTCAGAATTTCACCAGTCATGGCTGACACTGAAGTAAAGGTGCAGATACCTGTTTGTCATCTTGTAGGAAGATCTGTGCCAATTATCACCATTGTTTTGTCATCTTATAAGCCACAAAAAATGGTCCCCTTCCTGGTTGCCAAATGCCACAAACCAGCTGGCAAGGGTCCTTATGCTCTACTAGATATGGAAGAAGTTCATTTATTCTGAGCTCTCAGCAAGTTATTTGTAACCCTAGTGCCTCCTGATTGGGGCTCAGAGCGACTGACAGCAAATGTCTGGGTCAAGCATTACAGCCCGTGCACTTTGGGTTCAGGTCCACCACACAGTCAACCTACGGCAGAGGTGCAAGTGTCACAGTTCTCCAACAGAGTTCCCAGTGTGGCTCTCTACTATCCTGCCTTCTCTAATTCTGCCAACTCTCTATCTCGGTCATGGCCACATTCCCTTCTCTGTCTCTGCTGCCACTGCAGGCCTACTGGCTCCTGATGTTCAGTCATTGCTGCCACAGGAAGGCCTGATGCTGGTTTTTGCCACAACCCTGACTTCCCTGCAGCTTTCTGACATCCATGGTCGAATGGAGACCACTCTTCTGCTGTTTTCACTAGCAACAGCTCCAGCCATCCCCAAGTGGTCTTCCATCACAGGCATAAGGAGCACAATCAGCCCAGGTCCAATGACGTTCCTGCTACTAAGAGAGGTCTTGATTGGCTACTGACCCAATGGCTGTCACTACTATGAACAGCTTGTTGTCCCCACTGCTCTGCCACTACTGTTTCTCTTCTGTTACTAGCTCAACAACTACAAAACAATGAGAATGAAAAGTAGGCAAGGCAAGTCATTTGATATGTCTTTATTTGCAACACCAGGGGGAAGCACAGCCTCAAGGATGTTGCCCAGCTGCTCACAAAGTAAATCAAACAGCCTGCTTATATATGCAGAAATGGACTGTCACAACAGTCTGCACCAATCATGGCAGTCCCCTCATTCAAATGAAGGACTGTGTTGGCACCAGTCATGGCACTGTCTCTGTCACCAGTCATGACAGTCTTTTCCGCAAATGGAGGTTTGTATTTGCTTTAGTACTACCTGGTGAAGGAAGTGTTCCCCGGTGGCCTGGGTACAAGTGACCTCAGAGTTCTCTGGCATTTACTAAGGCTTGTGGTGGCAAAAGGTTGGTGCAACCTGCTTGCTGGGGCAGAGCCTTCTAGAGCTGGAGTCATGCTTTGGACTCATACCAGCCAATTCTGGTATGAGGGAAGGCTGACTGGCAGTCTCTTGCTCAAGGAAGCTGTGTCCTGGGGAAAGGGTCTAACAGCTGTCAAGAAATCAACCCTATCCAACTCCCAATATCTCAGCACATTTAAACAAGAGAAGAAGTTCCTTCAGTTATTCTGGGCTCTTGGCAGGTTATTTGTTATCTTGGATTGGGGCTCAGAGTGTCTGACAGCCAAGGGTTTTTTCCAACAGTATCATTTACAATATTTCAGAGCTCTAACAATGCTTAAGTCCTACCACAGTGCTCCAGGAAAAGGTGTACCACCTGTTTCATTTCCACCTCTGGGACTTCATCCTCTTGAGGTGGTGGTCATGGGTGTTTCTTCTGTAACTGCTTAGGCTGACCACGGGGGAGCTGTCCCTAGGGTCCCCTTAATGCATGAAAGTCTGTGGATGATTTTTGAATTTCAATCATAAGCCAACTCCCCCACCCCCAATCCTCAAGTGTAATCACTGAAGACTTTGCTTCACTGTCAGGTCAGAATGAAATTGATAAAGCTTCAATGATGCAAACTTTTATGACACCAAGAAATACAGTCTCCAAATAACCAGGAAAATTATTATAACTAGACGGTCAAGCAAGGAGGAAGATTCATGCCCAGCTCTGGGCTGTGGTTATACCAGTAAACCATCAGCACAAATCTCCTGACAGCCTCCCCACATGTGAGGCTGTCTTCAGGTTACCAGGGTCCTTCCAGACCAAGGTCACCAAGAACTGTCTATATTGTATGTGAAGAGTTGTTTTTGATGTTTTCATTGCAGTGCCATATACTGTGAGGTAAGTTCACATTGGGGGGCTTACATAGGCCTCATCTGCTCAATGATATTTAAGCCTCCCTGTAGTTAACACTGTACTCTCTAGGAAGGCATGTTGTATCAGTTTCTTCAAGTGACCCCAACAGTAAAGACTTCTTTGAACTATTCTGTAAGTAGTGTTTTGAAAGGCATAAATTTCATGAATAATATTCCTGTTTAATTTCTGGACCTGGCTGAAGTAGAAATAAACCAACCAAAGTATGTCTCAGAGTTATTAGTGAATTCTGATTAATACTTTTCTTGGTGATACTGCCTGGAAAACAAAATTGCCCATAATAATTTTAGTGGTAATAACCACCATGATTTTCAGGGTACCAGGTAAGTTACAGCATCATATAGTCCAGAGATTTTCAGCTTTGTTTTTCAAGGCTGCTCATTTGGTCACTTTACCTGCCAAGTTTTCTCCCTGGCTTTTAAAGGAACTATTCTTTTGGTCACTAATATGATGGACGACAGCCACCCTCCTAGGGACCATCACTGCCTTCAAAAAAAAAAAAGGCAGATAAATTTCCTGTCCGTTATGGGGGAGGGAAAGTAGTATCTATTAATAGCCCCCTTCTTTCTGAGTGGGCTGCATTGTTACATGGCACCAAAACCCATCCCAAGAACTGGAGTGACTACTGAACATTTTACCCTACCTTAGTTGTAGGGCTTTAACCAGTGTGTGGAGGTTTGTGCTGGAAGAGCCTTGGCTATCCTGGAAGCTTGTGGGAGGAGCTTTCACTTAGCCATCTTAGTTGCCATTCCCCTTTTCCAAAATCAAGTTTCCCTAGTCATGCTGTCTTCCTTCTTCCCATTTCTATTAACCTACAAGCTGATGTAGCACCATGATACTTTTAACTGGCTTCTAAATTTTCTCCTTGCCATTTTAATTAACTCCTACAATCTTCCTATGCTTATGATCTAACTCAGTGGGTCTTACCTGGCTGGACCTTAGGATCATTTGGTATGTTTTGAAGGAAATAAAAACCCACTGGCTTGGGGAATGGCTGCTCGTTTATTATTATTGCTCTCTTTTCACTCTCAGAATTTCCATGACACAGTATAATTTTAGGCCAAGATCCATTCTAGCTAAACTAGAACTTGGTTTTTCTCAAACACATCCAGTCTTTCCATGAAATTGACTCAGCTAGACTTTATCTGCCACTTCTTTTTCTCTCATGTGCTCCTTTTAATCCATGTTCAGCCAAACATCACAAGTTCAAGTTCACTGGGTAATTTCTTACAGACTTGTAAAATTCTAGCTTCTGCTTCTACTTCTCTGCTAGGTCTTCAAGACTGAGTTGTGATTCCTATGTTGGCAAACTTGACCTTTTCTTCTACTTCTAAGATCAGCTATGCTCCTTTATGGACAACTTTTAAGGTCTCATAAGGGGCCTCTTTGCTCCTAGTGTCTAGGATCTTTGTGTTCCTCCCAATGGGGAAGTCAGTGGTTTACAGAAGTTGCAAGACTCCTCTCTTTTGGAAGGATCCCACCGTCCCCTCAGTCCTGGCTGGCCTTTGAATATGAAGGTCAAAGGCTGACTGTACTCCTTTCATCTTCCTCCATTATGACCTCCAACTCTTGGTTGTGAACACCCAGAAGGTCAGCTCTGCCAGTCTTGAGTTCACTGCTAGCTTGATCTCATCTCCATAGGTGAGGGTTTAGTCACAAATTCTTTTTGGTAATTACCAAGTGTTAGTAGGGACCCAACATAACTATAGAGCACTGCAATTTTGTTAATAACCAAGTTTAAGAGCACTCATTGTTATCTTTTCTCTAATTCTGGTTGTTAATGCTTATAAAAGCCAAAAACTATGAACAAGAGACAACAGTTATGGTTAGCAATTAGATTTACCCTTCACAGACCTTCTGAAACTTTACTTATACCCTTTGTTGCCTTCTTCCTTCTTTTTAATCATGGGACAAAAATCTTACTTTACCAAATCCTTTCCAATCCATAAACACATGATTCCTTTGCATATGAATGGAAAAATTAGACAACACAATCCCGGAATTAACAATTAATGTGGCATGAAGAGCAAATGCTAGGTTTAATATGACAGTTATCTTATTAAAACTACTATACTCGTGGACCTTAACAGAGAACAGATAAGAACAGTGCTTGTTCCTCTGAAACTCACTCATATAGTTTAGGGAACATAGTCCAAAAAAGAGTCAGAATCCTGACTTCAGTGGAGGAACTGCTGCCATCTACTCAACAAATCATTGGGATGATTTTCGTTACTTCTGTGTTGGAAGCCCTTCAAAGCCAACATAAATGAGTTCAGGATGGCAGAAGACTTCTGAGTCAACAAAAGGCTGTTTGTCCCGACTAAAGTTCAAGCTAAGAGAACTTACAAGCCACTGAAGTAATAGAAAAGCACCCAAAGAACTGTGAAATGTAGTAAGAAGAAACAATATGGTAGCAGGGAGACGTAGTGTCCCATCCCTCCCCAACAAAAAATGACAGCTGGCAGTTCCCAAACTGGTAACATTGGGCAGATAGGCACATTCCTCCTGGAATTAAACTGGATCCCTCTGATAGCACAAAGTGATCCTCAATGCCCAGGCATGACCTAAGGGGGATAGATGTGGAGCCCTGAGGCCAAAGTCCAGGCAATGGAACCACCCTTCTCCATACCAGGCCTGAGACTCCCTTTCCAACCTAGAAATGCTCCAAAATGCAACAAATACAACCCCGACATCCAGGAGAGCAGCATACACTGCTGCCTGGCTCCACCATCCCGCCTGCTCCCCTTTCTCTGCACAACCAGCTGCCTCTGCTGTCTGCATTGCCCACTTTTTCCTCCTCCTCTGGCTTACACAGAACAGCAGAGTGGCAGGCATGACCTGGATCTCCAGAGCTGCAGTCCTTGAGCCACAATGGCCACAATGACAGGAGAGAGCACTGACAGCTTCTGCTGAGGGCAGGATCTGGAAATTTCTGGGCCATGGGGATCGGCAGGAGACACATGTGGCCATCTGGATGCACTGGGGCCACCAAATGCACTGTACCAGCGAGATTTCATCTGAGGCAGGAAAACTGGAAATCTAAGACCCTTACATTGGACACATTACATGGAAATCAATTCAAAATGGACTAAAGGCTTATGCATGAAGACCTGAATCCTGAATCTACAAATCTCCTAAAAAATGGGAAAATTACATGACATGGTCTCAGCAATGATGTCTAGATGTGACACCAAAAGCACAAGCAACAGAAGCAAATCTAGACAACAGCAAAGGAAAAAAAATCAGCAAAATGAAAAGGCAAAGCGAAGAATAAGAAAAACGTTTTCAAGTCTCAGCAAATATAAGAAAATAGAAATAATACCGTCCATACTATCTGATCACAATGCACTAAAAGTAGAACTCAAAAACAAAAGTAAAGACAAAAAACATGCAAACAGCTGGAGACTAAATAACTCATTACTTAGTGAAGAATGGATCATCGATGAAATACAAGAGGAAATTAAAAAGTTCCTGGAAGTCAATGAAAATGAAAACACAACCTACCGGAACCTATGGGACACAGCTAAGGCAGTCCTGAGAGGAAAGTTTATAGCCATGAGTGCTTACATTAAAAAGACTGAAAGATCCCAAATCAATGACCTAATGATACATCTCAAACTCCTAGAAAA